AACGGGTCCCTTAGAATTCCAGTGTCCACAAACTGAAAGTCGCTGTTCCCACACTCATTGTCCTCCAACTCAAGGGACTGGGCAGCACAGTCAGCATTACTAAAGACTGAGGCAAAAATGGAATTGAATGCCTCCAGTTTTTCTTCATCCCCATCAGTCAGATGACCATCTTCAACAAGTATCATCTTATTCTTCAACTCTTTAATACTTACCTTAATATATACCTTGGGGTTTAAGGTATTTGGAAGACAATAGATAGTGAAATTTTCAATGTTAGATTAGAAAAACATTTAAACTATGAATGTAGGTTCCTAGAAAAGCAGAGAACAAACAAAGATAAATCTAAAAAGCACAAAATAAGTGAAAGGTGATGGCCATGTGCTTATGTGGAGGTGGAAAGACAACATTAAAAAACTTTTCAAAACTAAACCATAGCACGTTTGGTAAGGTAACATAGTTATTATCTAGCAGGAGAAGCAGGCTTGCATGCAACATAAAGGCACCACGACTCAAAAAAATATTTCTACTGAACACAGCTTGGAAAGTCAAAAGCACACAGGATGGCAAAATGCAGAGGACATAAAGAGCAGACTATGACTGACTGGAAGAGCTGTCTTCTAGTCTCGCATAACCCCAAGCAAGATGGAAAAGACTCCTCTGCTGCACAAACATCTCTTTCTTATCTACCAGCTTCTAAGAAGAAATGTTTCTGAGTACAGTGGCTTGCAATGAAAATCCTGACATCATAGTTAATAATGACGCTGCTTAATTGAAAGTTTTACACCAAACGTGACTGTTTCAGGTTTTTACATCCAAAAGTTTTTAACAGTTCTCTAACTAATTTAAATGTCAAATTAGCTTCCAATTAGTTTACGATAGTAGAACACCACAAACCCTTTTCTAAAAACATCCATAGCATTAGACTATGTCAGCTGCTACAAAAAACTTACCATGTGCAGGAGCTGAATTTCACATCCTACTTGCCAAAGTACAGTAAGTGCTTGGTAAGCCCTCGTTTCCCCAGGCTTTGCTGTTAATACCTAACAAAATGGCAAGAAAGAACATTTTTGTTGCAAAAACTAAGACTGTTTCCTTATCTAAGCAAAATACTTATATATATGTATATGTATATATATATAAAACAAGTGGTAAGAAAGTAATAGTTAAGTCTAAAATTCCAAAGAAAAGTTACATTAGGCCTCAAATACATACTTTGTGCTATTTCAGTACATTTTGTCAGAACACATGATGAGCAGACATTATGGCAGCCTGAGTATTTCTTTGCAGCAGTTATTTGGATAACTGAACTGTGTAGGCATTTTCAGCTTACACTTTCTGGTCTCTCTTAAGCCAGACAAGTTTCAAACAGAAGAAAAACAGAGATCATATTTTGTAGAAAAAGCATAACATGGGTAGAGTTATCAGCTTACACTGATATGATAACATTCCCAGTAAGACACACAAGCAGAGTAAGCCAAACATCATGTGACCTCACAGAACATTAAGCAACTTGCACAGTCATCATCCTCATCAATATTACAGATGAGACAACTCTTTGGTTAAGGAAAAAAAAAAAAACAACTTGTGATTATTCTCAAACAGGGCAAAGAAAGAAGTAAAATGTAGCAGGGAGATTTAACTTCTCATAATAGATTTAGAGAGCTTCATCATATGATCAAAAAAAGAACCAACCATGCCCAGTAAAGAAGGTTCCAGTTGCTTAGGTACACAACTCTCATTTAACAGGGTTCACAATAAAAACAGAAAACTTAATAAAAAACACAGTGACTGCATTAAATGAACAGACTGCCTCCTATTTGCTCAAAAATCTGTCCACTAAAAACATACCATTTAAGTGGATATTTCAGTCGTGTTCAGCCTGTCATTTTGCAGAAGAATATACTTAAGATTTTTTTTTTTTTTCCAGTAGGGCATTAGACACAACACAGGTTGTGTAAGCACACTGGGAAGTCTTTGGAATTACTTCAGCTAATTAAAGGTTTGTGGCTCTGTATGAACCTCAGAGTTTCATACAGAGAGAAAAGGTACCCTTGAACTTTAAGTACAGTTCTAGAGGTTTTGTACAGTGTAAATTAGGAACACATAGAAAGGTGCTCTGCTCCTTAGTGTACAGAACCTTAATAAAAAGGTGTGTAAATTACGCATATTTTGCCTGTTTTTTTCAGCACTACATACAAAAGTGGCTCGAGGACAAGTGCATCTCACTGACTACGGTATTTAATAACTCTGAATCCTCTTCATGAGGCATTTGAATTCAGTCTTCACTAACTATTAGCTGCATCTAGTAAACAATTTTGTTGCAAAAGCGTGTTACAGAATTTAAGCCCCTCACAAGTTAAAATGGAAAGCAGCTAGTCTGCCACTGCATATCCCTCTCAAGGACCAGCTTTCACATTTGTAAGAGTTGTGGTTATGTGACAACAGAATGTTTCTTGACAGTGCTAGTGCTGCATAAAGAGAACAAGTAAAGAGAAAGAGACAAGACTTAGAATTTCTGTCAGAAAAATAAATTCACTAGCAAAAACATTAACTATACAATATAAATGTTTTTGTGTTCTGCAAAGTACTACTTATTCTTTACTACCCATAAAATCTCCTTCACATACCTTGTACTGTTTTTCACTTAGGAAGATGTTGAGTTCTACTCTTCCCCACCTGTATATGGAACTGCATTCATACAGGGCAAAAATAAACTTCCAAAGCATGTTCCTTTCCTTTTTTTGTGGTAAGATTCCAAAAACTCTCAGAGGTACATCTGTTTCAATAGTGTGTAAAAGTATCTTTAAAATTTTGCAATATGTACTAGACAATCTCATTAATGCTAATGCCTAAACTACAAAGAATTAAGAAAAAAAGTCTGTCAGCTTGTGTTGTTCAAAAATAAATACAATTCAAGCTTTAGTCAAAGCTAAGCCCAGTTTGCATTAGACTAAACCTTTAACAAAGACAAGTAAATAGCTGAGCGTTCATATTGCTACAAGGGTTTTTTGAAGCTATCAAGAACCTAAATAAAGCTGAAATGTAGGAAATATCCATTAATCTGGCAGATATATTAAAAAGAACATACACCTCAGGCAAATGACAAGGATTTTGCCAAACTGCCTATGCACCCTTCAAATCTATTTGTAACAGGTGTGATCATATACATATACCTGCCCCCCAAGGAACTGGTGCTACACCCATGGTTTCAAAAAGTTTGTCAGAACACATAGCAGGTGGTTTCAACGTTCCAGTCACCAAAGGATCCAGTCTGAAGAAGTCACCGTAAATTACTTTTAATTGTCCATCCAGGCTGTTCTCTAGGGACTGAATAAAATTAGTCAGCTGAAGAAATCTGGATGCAGTAACTTGTCTTGCAAAACACCCAACCCAAACTAAAAAAAAGTTCAAGCACTACCTAAAATTGCTACCCAGTCAACAAGAGTGAAATCTCAACGCTGCCTCTTACAGCTTCCATCATTGTGCAGGACATTTTGACATTTTTGTGCTGCTCAACAGGAGCTTTAAAACACATTCTTAAATCAGTAAGATGTTCTGCAAAAAAAGCTATGTTCAACTACGCAAACAATTATTAAGCACTATTTCAGATGTTACAAGTAACAATCACTGGCTAATTCCTTTTTGATCTACCAGTTATTACACAATTGTAAGTTAATTTCTTATTTTCCCTTTAAATAAGTTTTAGAAACGTGCTACCAAATCAAAAGTGTACCTGTAAGTTTGGAAGAAAAGCTGAGTTATTTTCTAGAGCCACCACTCTAAGACCTGCATTGAGCAGAGTCCGGGTCAAGATTCCAGGACCTGAAGGTGCAAAATGAAAAACATTTTTTTAAAGTGCCCTTTTTTGTAAGTGATTTCCTTTAGTGATTTTCCCAACAGAGCATTTGGGACATAACAACTTCAACAAGAGATGACTTGTGTTTATTTAAACACACTTCAAAACAAGACTTAGAAAGAAGATTTACAGGCAGACTCCTTGAGATTGCTCAGTGAATTACACCGAGCACAGCACTACAATTAGATACTGAGCAACATCAGATAGAATGTTTCAAATATTTTTACTACTTTTTCTTCTGCCAACTAAAATATAGTTTGAAACCTTACCCTTATTATCTCTACAAGTAAAATACCCACTGTAGAAATGTAAAAAAAAAAAAACCAAACCACTGAGTAACTGCAGAGGGCTGCCAGGCGTGCTTTTACTGGTAAAGCTCGCCAAAAATATTACCTGGACAGAAATTCACGTCTCTACTTACTCTATAGCACAGTTTTAACACCAGTAACCCAAGTCTCCAGGCTGAGCACTCATTTATTTCCCTCAAAGCTCTCTATAAATGGACCCCCCCGCCCTTA